CCTTCAGATTCACTTGTATGCAAGCCTGGGGCAGGAATAATGGATTCGTGATTAATGATGTGGGAGTTCCCAGCCCACTGTGGGCAGGGCAACACAAGGAAGACCATCCAGAAGGAGGAAGCCATTAGGAGCAAGCCAGTAAGCAACTTTCCTCCATAGTCTCTGCTTTAGCTATTGCCTCCAGGTTCCTCCCTTGAGTTTCCATCTTGGATTCTCTTAATGATTTAGACTGTGGTCAGGATGGGAAAGTCAAATAAGCCTTCTTGTCCCCATACTTTTCGATATGGTGTCATTATCACATCAATAAAAATAAAACTTAACAAGGGGCTTATCAGATGTGTGCTAAAGAGATGTGTGTGTTAAGGATATGTGTAAGGAGTACAGGTTTTTCTGCCTGCCGCCTGGTCTTGTCCCGCTGCCGAGCCAGCCCCAAATAACACACAGAGACTCTGTATTTGATATTATACTGTTGGCCAGTTACTACTTTCTTATCGGCTATCTCTGTCTTAAGTATTAACCCATTTGTGTTAATCTATGTATTTCCATGTGGTCAACTTACCTGGAGCCGGCTGCCGCGTACTGCTCTCTCCAGACTCTCCATCTTGACTCTCCTTACTGCTTCCTCTTTCCTCCTTGTCTCCTAGTCCCTCCTATCTTCCTTTCCTATTGGCCAACAGTGCTTTATTTATTAACCAATATGAGAAACATATATACAGACTGACATCTCCCATCAGATATGTAACTTGCCAAAAGAGAGAAAGGGGTCATAAATAATTACAAACCCACATGGGAGATCTGAACTGAAGTCCTTTGAACTTTAATATACACTGGTAGGGAAGCACCACCTCCTCAGATGGACAGACGCCCCCACCCTTCCCCATGCTGGTGCTGGTTGGATGAAGATTGTCTTAGAGTGACATAATTAAATAGATCTGTTTAAGATTAAAGTCGCTCTCAGAAGGGCTGGGGGCCCCTCTCCACATGAATGGTTCCTATCTTAGGAACCTATCTTAGGGAGTCCAGGGTCTCCTATCTTAGGGGGTCCACAGTCAGTTTTTCATCTGTTGTGTTTTGGATCTTTTCTCCACTTTGCTTCTTTTTAGGTTCTAAAGTTTTCACCCAGATGATTCTGCTAAAAATTCCAGCTCATGGTTTCCTGTTTGGAGACCACATGCTTCTAAAAAGCTGAAAAACAAAACAGAAAACAAATTGAAACAGAGCTGGGAGGCCCCTTTCCTGTAATGTTAACTGAGATCACAGTTCAAATGGTTAAAGAGGTGGGGACACATTATACTCAGAGAGGCTGCTGACATCACTGCCCAGGGACTGGACAATCTCAATACACAGAAAACCTTTAAATTTAAGATTTTAAAAATCCTGTTTATTTTATTTATTTGTTTATTTGATTTTCAAGATAGGATTTCTCTGTGTAGCTTTGGAGCCTGTCCAAAGACTTAGAAATCTGACTGCCTCTGCCTCCCAAGTGCTGGGGTTAACCCAATGATGATAAGAACTTGTTAATGTAACTAGAACAGCTTTTCTGCTAATGGTTCAATTTGATGAGTCTAGTCTTATCGTCAATCAGAAATTTTTCTTGTACACAATGTTGGTAGAGTTCACTTTGTTTTGACTTTTGATAAGTGTGCTTATAAAACTGACATAGAGACTGAATGCTCAGGTAAACTGTGTTACCTGTACAGCATGTGCACAAGGAGTGACTGCTACACCTGTGGGCAGGATGTCCCCTGGCTCAAGTTTCCTTTTCCTTTGAGTGGGACCCTGTCCTACCAGAGCAAATGACATGTTGTCCTCTGTATGAGAGAAGGACACATGGGCAGTAAAGTGTGCCAGAGTCTGTTGCTCTTGTTCCCGGGTGTGCAGACAGGCCCACTGAAAGCTGCTTATCAATAGAGATGAATTATTCCTCACACATCAGGGGGATGGGTTCTGTCACCAATGGTGGTGACACCCCCAATGGTTGATGGTACCTCTAGCTGTTGTGTTGTTCTGAATTGTTCTGCTAATCAGGGTCTTTTGTATTTCCATGCAAAACTTAGTATTGTGTTTTCAATTTATGTGAATTGTATTATAATTTTGATGGGGATTGCCTTGAATCTGTTGATGGCTTTTGGTAAGATGGGTATTTTCATATTTATCCTACAATCTATAAGCATGAGAAATTTGTCTATCATTCAGCATCTTCAATTTTTGTCAGTGTCTTAAAGTTTTTACTGTACAAGTATTTCATTGGATCAGATTTATTCTAAGATCAGTCTTCCCCAATTTTTTGAGGTTTTTGTGAATTAGACTGTTTCCTCCATTTCTTTTATGCTATGTTTGTAATTTATACTTGGAAAAGCCCCTGATTTCTGTGTGTTAGTCATGGTATTTTACCACAACCCCAGGAAAGGAATTAAGACAACAGGCTATTGTATAAAGTTTCTAAATGGAACTTTAAACCTAGTTATGAAGCCAATTGTATTTTCTGTATAAGCATTTGGTCAGGTGCACAGTGAAGACAAGAGCACATAGTCACTGTTTTGCATATTCTAATGTACTTAAGAGTAAAGATGTCCCTTGTTCATCCTTGCTCACCATTCACAGTAGCTACATAACAATCTAAAGAGGGTTTTATATATAAAAGAAGGTTGTATTTAAAGTTAAAAGGGCTGGGCATAGATTACACACCTTTTTAAAGATAAACAAATTCAGCATCTGAGGGTTTAGGTACTGCAGAGTGGGGTGGCCAGTCCTATCGCGGTAAATAAGGATCAGGATAAACAAATAGGCCGAATAGATGTTTATTCAGGGAGAAATAACTTACAACCTAGACAGATGAACACCAGGAAATTCAACCCGATCCTCTCCTGTCCGAGTCACGCCAGAAAGAGAGCACCTTTCCTGGCCTGCTCCGACCTCCTTCCACAGGTCACTCCGCCCATGGCTCCACCCCCCAATGGGCGAGGTCAGTGCCACAGAACTATCTCACTACAATTCCCCTTTTAGTCTAAAGAAAAGTTTTAGGCTTAATACAAAACTATATACAAAACAGTGAATAACAAGTGAGCTCTAAGAAAAGGAAAATTGAGAACAAAATGACCTACATATCTAGTCCTAGGGTGAGGGCATAATGGAGTTTACAATAGAGTTGTCCTAAGCTGGAAAATGTAAGTCTAGTACCTAATATATCTAACTAGGAAGAGAGAATAATAGTTGTGATAGTTTAATCTTCAACCTCATCAAGACCTGAGAAGGAAATTAACAATACTAGAGTAGACAGGAAATGCGGATGGACAACTTCCAAAAGGTGCAGCAAGGACAGAAACAGCAAGCCACCTGAACAGTCACCTTAGGTCTCACAGCAACGTTGGTACACCCAGATTTGGCTAAGGCCAAGAGAACTTGACAGACCACAACAACAGCAGGGAGATAGAATGGCTGTCTTACCCTGACTTGGCAAGGTCAAGCAGTCTTCTATATTTGTCTCCTGCAAGCACATAGGACTGCATGTCCAAATCAGTGGTCAAGGTGGGGGCAATTCTTTGCCCAACAGGCCATTAGCTGAGGCGAGATTGAACTCCAGCAGGAGCAACAACAGTGTCCAACATATTTTCGGGAAAGTGCACGGTGCTGTCAGGAGCAACAGTGTCTCATGTCAATGGAGTACTAATATTAAAACATTTAAATGCCATGTTCTGCATGTCTATGAAGTGATTGAAGATTAAGCATCTATATCTGACTAATCTCATAGGTACAGGAAATATGAGTGAAGATAATCTGTAATACTCGGGAACTTAGCTAAAAAGACTGATTAAAACTTCCCTGAGTAAAGCAGGAACAAATACTTAAACAATATAACTATTACATATACATGCATGTAAATCCCTAAAATAGAGGTAGAGTATAAGTGTCAAGACAAGAGGTAGAACTATAAAGGGCAGCAAGATAAATATCCCAAATTGTATCAATATACAAAATGTCTTGAATACAAGAAAAGTATACATACATAGAATATGGTAAAAAAAATAATGTGCATAAAACATTGTAAGTGGAAAGATTTAACAAATATAACAAAATATAAACCTAATTTTACATAGCTTACCACATAAGAATACACAACAATGTAAGCTGAAAAATACTATCTCATTCTTACTCAAATTCTCAAGAAAATAGGCTAATCTACCTATATCCCATCTAAACCATACCTTTCCCAACCATTCCCTATTCCTATCTAAAAGATAAACCCGAGTGTAAGCATCACCCAATCCCAAATAACTAAAACCAACCCAAAGACGATGACTATTATCCCAAAATTCCAAGGGTAGGGAAAGGGGGTGTCGTTATCTTAAGATTACTTCCTGCTGAAATGGGACGATGATTGCTCCAATGGATCCTGTAGGAAGAAAATTTTTAGCAACCAAATTTCTCAACAGAACTGGCTGTGACATATGTAGCTAGTCACTGTGTGGGAGATGTCATTCTGTATATGTTTCTCATACTGGTTAATAATAAAGCACTGTTGGCCAATAAGAAAGGCCTAGGAGACAAGGAGGAAATAGGAAGTAGGAAGGAGGAGTCAAGATGGAGAGTCTGGAGAGAGCTGGACGTCAGCCGCCTCCCCGGTAAGAGAAGGCCATGTGAAAATACATAGATCAGCAGAAATGGGTTAATACTTAAGACAGAGCTAGCCAATAAGAAACTAGTACCTGGTCAACAGTATAATATCAAATACAGAGTCTCTGTGTATTATTTGGGGCTGGCACAGCAGCAGGACTAGACCAGGCGGCAGGCAGAAAAACCGTACTCCTTACACAGTCTTCCTTTTAAAACTCACAAAGACCCTCAGCTTTACAAAGAGTAAAGAATTCTGTTTCTGTTTAGAGTTAACTGAAAGAATGATTTAAAGAGCGGCTCAGAGCAGAAATGAAGGGGTCTTGAAGAGGGAGGATCTTGTCTAGAATTCTTAGTCACTCAACTGATTCTAATTCTGTTCTTTGCAGTTTGCTTCAGCTTTATCACTATATCACATAAACTTCATGTATGACCTGTCATGGATTCAGTACTTTAGCATTTCTCATTATGGATTCTCAGTAAGTTTTCCTATCTGTTACTGTACTTGGCTTCTCCAACTGTAGTGACTGAAATGATTCCCAGCCAAGTCCTTTCCCCAAATGTAATCTCTAACCAGCTGCTGCCCAGGAGTCTCCTTCCAGGAGCTAAACATGAGAACTGTCCTGTTGGTTTTAGCCAAAGGCCAGTGAGTAATCTTGGGTTTTCCCTGGTCACTTATTATTTGAGGGAAGTAAAGAGTGAGAAAATCCCAGGGTAAAGAGAAAAAAATAGATGGTATTATGAAAAGCATACAGTTCTGATTCTGCCCAATAAGGAAATAATGGAGAATCAGGGACTTTGACATGTAGTTTACATCAGGAAACTAAAAGAAACAGAAACCAAGTGATCACCACAGCCATACTGGTTTTGCCAAACTTTCTCTGCAGTAAAGTGTGTCTTAACAGACTTTCTTGTTCCCATAATCACAACTGCTTCTGATGAAAACAACAAGAAATATGTTACTGTGAATCAATGGTATTGTTTCAATTACAGTGTTTACATGGTTATGGGCTGGGCAGAGAAGGAGGTGCCTGAGGTAATCTAGTTAGAGTCCACCTCTTAGCAGTGGGGAAGCTCCTTCATTTCAATCCTAAACCTCCTGAGTGGGGGAGGGGCACTGCTTTGCTGGGCAGACTGAACTTGGTGGGGATTGCTTGTTTAAAATAGTTTTCTAAATTACAATCAAGATTGACTCTGAAGCTATAGCTATGGTTATTCTTTGGAAACTTACAAAATATTAAACTATTTGTCTTGCCCTATTTCTGTTTGTGTTACAGGCTTTGCAGCACAATGAATTCTTGGGACAAAACTTCTGTCCAGAACACAAAACAGCAGAAATCAGTAGATGTCAGGGCTATGTAATGTAAGCCATTCAGGATTAACTCTCTGTCCCTGCCCATTCCCCACAGTGAGTCACTGTAACCAATGCACATGTGACTATTTCCATCCTACTACTCCTTGTGTAGGCAATGTACAGAAGGGTCATTTGGACCTTTAAAAGTGGTTTTGAATGTGGGTTTGAGTTCCTTGCTTCAGAACATTTGAGTCTGACATAGGCTGCTCTGATAGTTTATATGGTCATACAGTTTGTACATGTGTAGATTATGGTTCCTGTGAGCAGAGCCCAAGAATATCAGGGCAGTTGTGCCTGCCAGATTCCAGGGTCTCCTCTCTGCCTTACACTCTAGAAGACTTCAAGAAAGCAAGGGCCAGTGTGTGTGTGTGTGTGTGTGTGTGTGTGTGTGTGTGTGTGTGTGTAAAATGTTGTGCCACAGAATACGTCATGCAATGAAAGAAATACATTAAATAGAAACAGTTTTTAATAAAATTATTTGTATTGTTTTAAAGTTACAACACCTTCTGCTGGTATTCAGGTATTTGTACTGGGCTGCCTTTGGAGTTCTCACAAGATACACCCTTGGCTGCTGCCACTAAGAGCACCACCTACACCTATTGAATATGTTCCCTTTGAAAAGGCCCTGCCAAGTTCCCCCCCCTCTCTCTTTCTCTCTCTCTCTCTGCCTCTCTTTCCTTCTTTCCTGTTTCCCACTGCTCCTGTCCCTGCATGCTGGTCTCCCCCCTCCCCACCTTTCCCCTTTTTATGATCCTTTCCCCCTAATTAAAAAAAACCCTCCACCTTAACTGTGTTTCATGTCTTTCTACAATTGTTCTCTTGCTTTTATTTTGATATATAAGTGAGAAAGGAACATGCCGAGATCTTAAATCTTTCATGGATGTTCAAAATATTATTATTATTATTATTAGTTACCAAAATTATGTTTGAATTACTGATAAGAAAGCAAGTATGAGGGGTATCTTATTTCCTACATTTCCTCTTTCCTGGTGTGGTGTGGCACTATTCTAGTAGAAAGTCCTTAACAGTTTCTTGTCAGAAGTATGGGGATGGTGTTGTTGGGTTGTTGGTATCACTCAGCCACCAGAGAAACCAAATATGAAGGTTTATCCTTCATTACAAATAGCCAGCTATACCTTGGGTTGTTTCTTGCCAGTTTTTCTTAACTTTAAATTATCCCATCTACCTTTTGCCTTTGGGCGTTTTCCTTTCCTTACTTCTGTGTATCGTTCTTTAACTCTTTCTCTGTGGCTGCTGGGTGGCTGGCCCCTGATGTCCTCTCCTTGTTCTCTTGTCCTGCTCTCCCTCTCCCTTCCTCTTTATCCCTCTATTCATATTTATATTCTCTGCCTGCCAGCCCCACCCTTTCCTTTCTCCTTCCTAGTTATTGACCTAGCAGGGCTTTATTTGACCAATCGGGTGTTTTAGGCAGGCAAAGAAACACGGATTCACAGAGTTAAACAAATGCCACATAAGGAATGCAACACATCTTTGCATCATTAGACAAATGTTCTACATCGAAAACCAATGTAACACATCTTAAAATAATATTCCATAACATGATGAGTAAAATGAAGCCAGGGCAGGCCATCTATAGACCTCATACTTACAAAAGGATTGTCCTCACAGGAGGAAGATATCTGCCCTTTCAGCAGATTTGGTAACTGCTAAATCCTAAGAGATACAAGGGATGGAGATACACAGGGATGGAGACACACAAGGATGAAAATACACAGGAGATAATTGTGTAATCAGAATTTTTATCAGCAGCTGCTGGTCTACCTTGTGTCAGAGCTTCTGCATCCTGCTGTGCTCCAACTGCTCCCCAGGCTCTGCCAGTAGCCATGGGCCATAAGGGATGTTCCATAGCTCAGCTTACATGGTTGTCCCAGCTCTCTTAGAACAGGAGCTGACAGGAATTGACTGACTCCTGACAGAAACCCTTAGTCTTCTCTGGGCCTCCATCTAGATTTTGATGCTGGGTTCTTTTGCATGACTGTCTACTGAGTCATCTGAACTGCACAGAGCTTTGTTCTCTTAGAGTGTCTGTGTGTGTCACTGGGAAGCTGGGGTTTTTCACTTCAGAAGATACAAGTGCTTCATCCATGCCTTTGTCCTTTGAAGAGAGAGCAGCATTGTAGGTTGAGAAATAAATGACATGTAAAGACAGTGAAGACTACAAAATTGGATCTTAGTATGACTCTATAAATAGATGTGACAGCTGCACCTCTTTGGATGGGTTTTTTTTAATTAACAAAGGGAGCAGATTCAAGTAATTAAGATTCAATAATATATCACAAAATATTAAGTTCAGCATTAATGCTTTCAAATACAAAGAAGAAATTTTTAATGATGTGTTGAAACTATGTGTTTTTAGAAGGAAGGAACAGTGAGTGTACTGAATAAACTTTGACATTATTTTTGTGTGTGTTGAATTACAGATGTACTACAGAAGAATACTTGGCAAACCAAGGTATTGATATCTCAACATGGGGCTTCTGGAAGAATCACGTGGCCTTAGCCTGTATAATGATCCTCCTCTTATCAATTACCTATGTGCAGTTGTTACCTCTTAAGAAAAAGAGATGTTTTTAAACCATTGTTCCACTTTCTTTGAATTAATCTGACATTTTAAAAAATAATAAAACTTTTCTGGTGTCTGTTTCAGTGGAGCAGCAGGTAGCACTTGAATTTCAGGAGTTTGGTCCACAAGAATGGGCGGCACTGATGGGCCAATCCCGGACAGGCAAGGCCTCAAGGGCCTGCTTCACAATGTCTCTTGTCCTGCTGTGCCTTTACATATTTGATTTTTGCCCTCTTTCTCTGGTAGTTGGCATGGTGTGAATGGGGGGTAGAGAGATCCCCACTACCTTTAATGTAATGTGATATTCTCATGGAAATATCCAGGCATCTTTACCTGTGGGTAATTACAAAGATGATTTCCTACTAAGCAATACTGTTTAACTGAAGTAATGATTTTGTACAATAATAGTGATAGTTTAAATAGAATTTTGAAGATTAAGGGTATTACCAAGTGTAGTAAGGGATTATGATAGAGGTTAGTTTAGTGGGACAATTAATACAGGTAAGGTAGGATATGGTGTTGCCCCACCCCTGATAAAGCAGGGGCTGCAGAGGATAGAAAATAGGACCAAGGAAATGTCACACAGCTAGGACTGATGAGCTTCTCTTGAGGAACCCTTTAGACTGTGTCTTAGGTTAAATTAAGGAAAACAATGAGTCCTAGTAATTAGCTCAAGTTCTTTTTGATATTGGGAAATGTGTTCACAGATTTCAGTGTGCATCATGGATAAAACAAAACTTTAATAATACTTCATGTGACTAGAAAACAAAGAACTGGATGGTTGGTTAAGATAATTGCCTCAGCCAGAAGGACTGAGTCTAAGGGACCTCAGACAGTGGAGCCTGGATGTATCCCTGGTGCACAAAAGGACTTTGCGAACACATCTCCCATGGAGGGATAACTGCCTTAATCTAGAGACAGGAGAGAAGCCCTAGTCCCTACTTCACATGACCTGTCAGATCTACATGACCCCAACTGGATGGCATTCCCCTACATATGGAATTGGGGTGGGGGGATGGGAGGGGAGGGTGGTTAAAGTGCATGTGAGAGGGCAGAGAGGGTAAAAGGGAGGGAGGAGAGAGGAAGGGAGGGAGAGGGAACTGGGATCGACATGTAAAATAATAAATTAAATTAAAAAAAAAATGCTTTGACTCCAAAATTTAAGTTCAAGGACAAGTTACTGGGAAAAAGGATTTTTATTTTTGTTTCCACAGAAAATGAAAAGATGTGGATTCCTTCCAGACTAATGTGGTTTGATCAAGCCAGACCGCCTGAAACAGAGTACAAGCTGATCCTACATTCAAAACAGCTGGACAAAACAGCCTTACAGACTACAGCCAGGATTTCTGAATCTTCTTCGAATCCCCCATGACAGCGCCCCTTACCAGCAGGAAGTAGTTTGGAAAGAACAACGCCCAAATTCCCAAATGTTGTCTATAAATGTTTGTTTTCATTTAAATGGACTTTGTTATATAAAATAAATTTAAAAAAATAAAAAAAGATAATTGGACAGAACTCTAAAACATGAAAAGTGAAATGAGTCATCTGTTTTTCTGGCAATTATGAAAGCTACTGTAAACAGTCATGGCTAAAAGGCTCCTGATCTATGAGAACTCTAAAAGATAAATGTTCAAATGTATGTGGGTTCTTAGGAATAATTTGCTTTTAACCTATAATGTGTAAAATGATTAATCATGTAAAGGAAATTGGAAACGATGGTTTTTGTTGTTGTTGTTGTTTTTTACTTACATTCATTATAATCATTCACTTAAAAACTACAGTGTAACCAAATTGTGAATTTTTACATTGCTTGAAAGATTCTGCTGGAGTAAAAAAGCTGTAAAAGAAAAAAATAAGGAAGTTAGAAGGAAGAGATCAGGAGGTAGAGGAAAAGGAATTCCTCAGGATGTGCAGAAGGAAGTCATCTGGAAGTACTGTAGAGGTAGTCATCAGGATGTAGAGAAGGAAGTCATCAGGAATGAGAAAGAAGGGAAAAATCAGGGTAGAACAAAACAGAAAAAGAATACAATGGGAAATGGAAAATATAATAAAATGAAGAAGGTCTGTTTATCTATCCAGTAGTTCATCTGCTCTGCATCTTTGGGTTCTCTGACAAGGTGAAGACTTGTCATCATTCCTCACACCCTAGGTGAGATCATGACATGTTGGAGGTGTGTGTGTGGGTGAGAGAGAGAGACCACATGTGTGTATGTGTGTGTAATTGTGTGTGTGGTGTGTATAGGCATGTCTGTGTGTTTGTGAGTATGGTGTGCATGAATATGTGTGAAGAGTGTGGGTATGTGTGTGTGAATGTGTGAGTATGTTTGTGAGAGTATTATGAGTGTGGTGTGTGTGTATGTGTGTCTGTATATGTGTGTGTGTGGTTTGTGTGCATGGGTTATGACTATGAAAGTGTATTTATATGTGTGTGTGAGTGTGAGTATGTATGTGATTGTGTGTGTGATGTATGACTGTGTGTGTTATGCAAATATGTGAGTGTGTAAGAGTGTATGCATGCATATGTGTATATGTGTGTGTATGGTATGTATATGTGAGAATGTATGTTTGTGTGTGAGAGAGAAAGTATGTGAGGTGTGTATGTGAATGTGAGAGTGAGTATGTATGTGAGAGAGAGAGTGTGTGTGTGTCACTTATGTAAACTATCATATCATCTGCAAATAGAGAAAGTTTGACTTCTTCCTTTCCAATTTGGATCCCCTTGATCTCCTTTTGTTGTCTTATTGCTTTAGCTAGAACTTTCAAGTTCAATATTGAAGAGATATGGAGAGAGAGGGTAGCATTGTCTTGTTCCTGATTTTTAGGAATCTACAGAGCTATAGTCCTGAAAACAGCCTGGTATTGGCACAAAAATCAACAAGTAGACTAATGGACTCGAATAGAAAATCCTGATATTAACCCACACACCTACAAACACCTGATTTTTGACAAAACAACTAAAAGTATATAATGGGGGGAGGAAAGCATCCTCAACACATGCTGGCATAATTGGGTGATAGTGTGTAGAAGACTGCAGATAAACCCATGTCTATCGCCATGCACAAGACTCAAGTCCAAATGGATCAAGTCCAAAAATAAATCCAGCCACACTGAACCTCTTAGAAGAGAAACTAGGAGGTACCCTTGAACAAATTAGTATAGGAGACCGCTTCCTGAACATAACTCCAATAGCACAGATTCTGCGGTTGACAATTAATAAATGGGACCTCCTCAAACCGAGAAGCTTCTGTAAGGCAAAGGACACAGGTGACATGACCAAACGGCAACCCACAGACTGGGGAAAAGATTTTCACCAATCCTACATCTGACAGAGGGTTGATCTCCAAAATATACAAAGAACTGAAGAAACTAGCCAATAAAACACCAAATAACCTATTAAAAAATGGGGTACACCAGGATAGCCAAAACAACTCTATACAATAAAGAACTTCAGGAGGCATCACCATCCCTGACTTTAAGATCTACTACAGAGCTATAGTTCTGAAAACAGCCTGGCATTGGCACAAAAATAGACAGGTAGATCAATGGAATCAACCTTGAACAATGGGTCTCAGAAGGCCTGGGTAGTCTAAGGGACATCTGAGAATGGAACCAGGATGTATCCCTGGTGCACAAAAGGACTTTGGGAGCACATTCTCCATGGAGTGGTACTCCCTTAACCTAGAGGCAGGAGGGAGGGCCTAGTCCCTACTCCAAATGACTGGATACATTTTGTTGACCCCCCTCTTTGTGTGGAGTGAGGGGGGATATGGGATGGGAGGGTGGTCCAGGGGCATGTGAAGGAGGGAGAGAGGGAGGGAGAGAGGAAGAGGGATTGATGTGTAAAGTAAGAAAAATAAGTAATTAAAAAAATAAAAATTAAAAAAAAAAGTAGCCTCTACACTATACACTAATGCTTAGATTCTGAGTTGGGGTCATTTTTCTAGATCTCTGGACGTTTTCCTAGTGCCAGATTTCTTTTTAGACATATATTGGCTTTGGCTCCTTCTATTAAGGTATCTTTTTTCTTGCTCCTAGCCATGTGTGGCAACTGTACGATTCCTAAATTTTAGCATAATGTGAGAATTGTGATAGAGAGCTCTTCTGAAAGTTCAGCAGATATTTACGAAGGAATAAACCTTGGCTGGAAGGAAATACTCTAGGGTGGATGGAAATAGCTGTGAGTTTTCTAGGTCATTAATAAAGGCCCAAGTCCCTAAGTGTGTGTGTGTGTGTGTGTGTGTGTGTGTGTGTGTGTGTGTGTGTGTTGGCACATGTGGACAGGCTGCAGCAGAACTGAGGGGGAATCTAAAGAGATCAGAATGGAGGGCAAAAGGGAGGATGAAGGGTCCCTACATAAGAACCAGCCTGGTGTGCCCTTGGTGGGTTACTATTAGAGAGAGGCTAGGGTCAACAGAGTCACAAAGAAATGCAAATGAGCTACTGAGCTACAAGGAATACTGAAAGAGCCACCAGGAAGAACAAGGGGCAGACAGAGTCTGTACCAAGGGACAAACTGGACTTTTTGTTACATTGTGCATCAGTTTGTAAGATGTTTAAAGACCCATGTGACTGATTAGTACTTTCCTGTTATGGAAAAAGGCTGAAGAGCTTATGAACATGCATTATAGAAACCCAAGGGAAATAACAATCCATGAAGGTGCAGATACAGCAGCATAGTCTGTAATCTCTATGGCTGCAAAGAATCTTGGGAACCAGCAGATTTAGGGGTGGGAAATTATTCCAAGAGGCAGTTTCTACAGATGCTGATGTGCAAGGCAGGGCCAAATATCTGTGTCTATGCAATGCTCTTCAGGAGAGCCTCTTGTTAACCCCTAGCTTCAGTGACTTTTCAGATCCAGTCCCCTTTAAATGTCACTGGAGCTCTTTCATAACACAAGAACCCTGTCTTTTTCCTGCAGCTATAGCAAAAGCCACCAGTCAAGACTCCTGAGCCATTGTATTACCAAAGAGAGGTATCCAAAGGTACTGGCTGGTTTTATGACAAGTTGACTCAAAAGCTAGAGTCCTCAGAGA